CCTCAGAGCCCAGAGCGCCACTCCCCAAGGGTCAGCTCCCACCCTCACCGAGCCCGGCCCCACGACTGCCGCAGGACCACAGGGTGAGCTCTGCTCCCACCCTCACCCAGCCCAGCCCCACGACTGTCACAGGGTCACAGTGTCAGGCTCGTCCCACTTGGGCCCAAGGAACAAAAAGGCAAAGCCTGTTTTCCCCTTCGTATGCCTCAGGCACCTGCACTGTTACCTGACCCAGTAGGTTCTGGAAGGTTTTGTGAGAACGAACTCTTGCCTTGCCAACCAGGGACAGAGGGGAGGCTTTGTTGTGTGTGGAAAAGCTCATGCTGCTCTCGGCCCTTCTGAGGGAGCAAAACTCCCTCAAAAACTCTCAAGGCGGGAGATGCGACCCCCGCCACAGCTCGCGACTCGCAGACGTGAGGCCCTGGAAACCCTTCTTCCAGGTGCCCTGGAATTCCTGTAAAGTGCACGGAGAAGCTCAGGGAAAAAGATGAGCAGAGAGAGAACCGGGACCGGAGAGAGAGAAGCAAGGTGGGCGAGATGCGGTGAGAGGAGGGTGAGAAGTGTCTGCCCCACCATTTCCCTGCTGTGTTTTCAAAATGCATCCAATGTTCCCCCACGGCTGACTCTCGCTCAGCCCATTAGATGTGCTGCCTCCGTTCATCCCTGTAAGAACCTTATAAGGCAAATATTTTTTAAATTTTCATTTTCTGTCTTAAAAAATCAGTTGGCCAGACTGAGTGACTTGTCCAGGGTCACACAGCCGTAAACAATGGAGCAGAGTCCAGAGCGGCACCCACTGCACCCCCATTCCCCACAGCTCCATGCAGAGGCCACCACTGGACTGTTGCCTCTGTGCTAGGCCCCCACATCAGGGAAATGGGAATCGGGGCCTGTGCAGAGGAGTCCGAACCCTAATCGGGTGATATCACCCCCAGAGGGCCCAGCTGGTGTGTCCAGGACAGGCCCCTGAAGTACGCTGTTATTATTAATTATTGATTATCATGAAAGAGGCCCTCATACCATAATCTGACATTCATGGTTTATGCCATGGAAAACTTTAATTCTGAGAGTCATGGGACATTGAATCAGAAAGAGGCGTTCGGTGCAGCTAGAGGCAAAGCGTTGCTCCGTGAGTTCCAATCCAAGATCCAGCAAAGGTCATACTGTAATCACACTGGCCGTCTCGTCCATCTCCACCTTGCGAGAAATCAATAAGAAATTACAGAGTACCAAGCAAATTTATATGCAGTCTGGTATGGGGTTGGGGAGTTGACCGTGTTGGGTTTTTTGCTCCATCTTTAAGTTCAATTTGGAAAATCACATGGTTAATCTCATCTGCTAACCCTTGGCCTGAAACACACTAAACAGTAGAGTTCAGTGCTATATGTATACCCAAAGTGCATAATGACTAGCAAAAGCATTTGCACTCAGCACTTTCTCCTCAGAAGGTAACTGTTTCTACTGCCATCAACTGTAAATGAACGTTGTGCACCTATACTGATCAAGCTCTCAGATCCACGTTTTGAACAAAATTACCTCCCCAAACCTAATACTTTTTAGACACAATTGCCAGAGAAAACAACAGAGCCACCTCACAATTCGGAAAATTCAAATGAGAAATAGAGATTTTAGCAAACAGAGAGCACTTTTAAAGCAGAGCCAAGAGCCTTCTGCAGGAGCACCCAGATGGTAATGATAGTTGAGGCCAAGAGACGGATGGTTCCACCCCGAGCTGAATGGGCAGGCAGCGTGCAACCTGAAAAGAACATTCTCCAGTGTCAGGATACCTCGCAAAGCTGCCCGATTTTCAAAGGCATCTTTTGTGCTTGCGAAATGTATGTTTTTATTATTCTCCAACAATGATGTCATAAGCTGAGGGGCAGGGAACGTGGGGCTGGGCCAGCTAGGTCTCATTCCTGCTTGGCTTTCGGGCCACATGGCCAGCAAGTCCACGTGTCAACATTCAGCCACACTCAACCTCTATTTCTAAGCTGTGGGTTAGCTGTGAAAATTGCCTCAAGTTTCCACTTGCTTAATGGAAAAAACTCATCCACACCCAGCAGAAGAGCCTCTCTCCACGGACGAAGCCGGTGAGTGAGGGGAAGCCTGTGTGTTCTTGCCTGGGACAGCTCACCATCCGGTCACACGTGGGGCAGCCTGTGGGTTCAGCTTCCTCTTCCTCTTCCGGAGAGCCCAGAAAAGGGTTTTACTGTACAGAGGCCAAGACAATGATGGAAGTAATCAGTTTCCATAAAATCACCTTTATAGCAACAACACAGATGAGAGTGATCCGATGCCTGGGACTGAACTGCACCTCGACCAGCTAACAAACTCTGCAACCTCAGTAAAGGAACTTCCTCACTGAGAAAATCGGACATTAATACATTCCCCAGGGATGACGGGGGCAATGAGAAACAACAAAGTCTGGTTCTGCAGGAGTCAGGCCTCAGGGAGGGGCAATGGCGCAGCTCACTACCGTAATTTTGTATTTTGTGGTAAACCTGCATGGAGCCTTCCGGAAGCACATTCACCAGTGAGGGCAGTATGGACCCAGCAGGTTGTGGGGTCATCCATGGCTGAGATTCCCTAATGGAACAGCTTTGCCAGAAAACAGTGGTCCAGGATGGTCAGTCCGGAAAAATGAAATCATCATCAAATGCATCCATCACCCTGGCTGGCAAATGATGATTTTGCTAAATTGACTTCAGAACATTTTCTGCAAAAGAAATAAAGCACCGCAGTCACACGTGAAGTCACCCCCAGCCCCTCATTGCACTGCCCTCCCGCACTCCCCAGGGGAGACCGGACTGGATCTTTATTACCCACACATCAGCAGTTTTGTCACAGATGGATGACTGCATGAAGAATATAGAACGTTGGTGTTCTTATAATGGTAATATCCTACCCTATGGGCTATTTTGCAAGTCAATTTTACTATCTGGCATCCTATTTCTTGAGATTCATCTACGTGGAAGCATACAGACGTAGTCCATTAGACGCAACTGCTATACAGTATTCTATATATTCTGTAGTGTGATTATATCACTGATTACTCATCATTCCTCTAACCATAGAAACTTGGGCATTTTCAAAGTTTTCAGTTTTGTGAAACCATGCTGCAGTGCACACCTTTGTTCAGCTCTGCCTCTGGGTATGAAGGTTTCTGTAGGACGCATCTCCAGCGGCAGAATTGCTGAGTAAGGCGTGTGTTTCTTTATTCTTGCCCAACGCTCCCAAAATGCATTCCAAAGGAGCTGTGCTTGTGCTCCTGACCACCGACCCCTGGTACCTACCCTGAAAACACTGGGACATTACAGGTCTTTTTAAAGTGCTTGCCTGTCTCATGAAGGTGGTAAGACTCCCAGGGGCAGAAACCAAGCGAGTGGCCTGGGTTCCTGCCAGGGGCCAGCTTTTGACCCATCTTGGCTATCGTCATGCCTCCCTCCCTACCTTTGATTTAAAGTGAGAGAGGACTGACTCTTCCTTTCACTAAACACTAAGGGGTCACTGCATGGTTATTAAGTGGCCTAATTTCAATATTGGGGCTTCTCAGGGAGGCCCAAGCAGAGGGAGAGATGAGGGAAGAGCCAGCTAGTGGAGCGGTCGGAAAACACACAACACTTACTAAGTTTACCATCTTAAATGGGTGTGGTTCATGACACCCCAGGACAACCACCATAGTAACATCAAAGATCACACAGCAGAGGGCACCATAACAGATACAATAACGGGAAACTTTGAAATATTTTGAGAATTACCGAAATGTGGCCAGGTGCGGTGACTCTCATCCATAATCTCAGCAGTTTGGGAGATGGAGGCCGGCGGATCACCTGAGGTCGGGAGTTCGAGACCAGCCTAGCTAACATGGTGAAATCCATCTCTACAAAAATACAAAAATTAGCCAGACGTGGTGGTGCATGCCTGTAATCCCAGCTACTCAGGAGACTGAGGCAGAAGAACCGCTTGAATCTGGGAGGCAGAGGTTGCAGTGGGCAGAGATCATGCCACTGCACTCCAACCTGGGCAACAGAGTGAGATTCCATCTCAAAAAAAAAAAAAATCACCAAAATGTGACACAGAGGCATAAAGTGAGCGCATGGCATGGGATAATGGTGCTGATAGAGTTGCTCAACTCAGGGTTGCCACAAACCTCAGATTCGTGAATAACACGATACCTGGGAAGCCAAACAAGGAGGTATGCCTGTACTTTAAATCATCTCTGGATGTTGCATACTGCCTAATACAATGTAAATGCTATGCAAATCGTTGTTATACTGTATTGTTTAGATAATGATAACAAGAAAAAAGTCTGTACACGTTCCATAGTGATTCATCCATTTTCTCCCGAATACTTTCTCTCCACAGTTAGTTGAATCCATAGATGGGGAACTCAGGAATACAGAGGACTGACCGTAGTTACGGAATAGGTGTGCCCCTCCTCCGTGGAGAAAGACCAGGACTCACCCCAAGGCCGCAGTGCCTCACCTGGGCGGGCTCCTATCCTTCCCTCCAGGGAGGTCTCAGGAGACGCCACCTGTCTCACCTCTGGCTGTGAATGAGGAAGTAGAGTTTGGGGGCTGGACCCCCTTCCCCTCAGTTTTGGGGGGGCACTGGTCACCGGGCCTGGAGGTCCCTGTAGCAGGTGGGAAGGGGGACACTAGGCCACACCACCCCAGGAAAGGTGTCTCTGACCTTTGACATTGCTCAAAACTTGTCCAAAGTCGGGGGCGCTTGTCTGTTTGGGGTACACAGCCGCACTTAGAGCAGGAGCCAGCCCGGAGGAGGACAGCTCCCAGCCACAGGCCCTCAGCAAGGGACCAGGGACGCTGCTTCCCCGCATGGGCCATAGGCCCCCCAGGGGCTCCCTCCCTCCAGTGGCCACAGTCATTTCTCAGGCCTGGCCTGGGGGCAAGGGACTCGGACCCTAGGGGACTGCCTGCTGTTCCCATTGACCTGCCGGCGCTCGCCCAGGGTCCTGACTGGTCTGTTCTCCCCTCCAGGTACCAGCAGCGCGGAGGTGAAGGAGAACCGCAATGTGGGCAACCTGGCCGCGCGGCCACCGCCCCTGGGGGACCGGGCCCGGGGCGGTGCCCCCGGTGCGAAGAGGAAGCGGCCGCTGGAGGAGGGGAATGGAGGACACTTGTGCAAACTGCAGCTGGTCTGGAAGAAGCTGTCGTGGTCCATGGCGCCCAAGAACGCGCTGGTGCAGCTGCACGAGCTGAGGCCGGGCCTGCAGTACCGGACAGTGTCGCAGACGGGCCCGGTGCACGCCCCGGTCTTCGCGGTAGCGGTGGAGGTGAACGGGCTCACGTTCGAGGGCACGGGCCCCACCAAGAAGAAGGCCAAAATGCGCGCGGCCGAGCTGGCGCTCAGGTCCTTCGTGCAGTTCCCCAACGCCTGCCAGGCGCATCTGGCCATGGGTGGCGGCCCGGGCCCTGGCACGGACTTCACCTCTGACCAGGCGGATTTCCCCGACACGCTCTTCCAGGAGTTCGAGCCCCCGGCGCCACGCCCCGGTCTCTCGGGAGGCCGCCCCGGGGACGCAGCGCTTCTGTCCGCGGCCTACGGGCGACGGCGGCTGCTGTGCCGCGCGCTGGACCTGGTGGGCCCGACCCCCGCGACCCCCGCGGCCCCTGGTGAGCGCAATCCCGTGGTGCTGCTGAACCGCCTGCGCGCTGGGCTGCGCTACGTGTGTCTGGCGGAACCGGCTGAGCGGCGGGCGCGGAGCTTCGTGATGGCCGTGAGCGTGGATGGCAGGACGTTCGAGGGCTCCGGGCGCAGCAAGAAGCTGGCCCGGGGTCAGGCCGCGCAGGCCGCGCTGCAGGCGCTTTTCGACATCCAGATGCCCGGCCACGCACCCGGCAGGGCCAGGAGGACGCCAATGCCGCAGGTGAGGGGCGCGGGGGGCGCGGGAGGACCCCGACATTTCCCTGTGGGGATTGGCGTCCGGGCTTCTCGGGGAAGGAGCGGCCGCGTGGAGCGGGAGGGGAAAGAATGTTCCCCCGGGCTGGCGAGGTGACCGGAGAGCAGGTGCTGCCGGCGGTTTTGAGGGTGACGATGCGGCTGCCCGGGAGGAGACGGCCAGGCCGGGTAGGGAGCTGCCAGGGTGCCTCTGTCTGCAGGGGGAGGGCCGGTTCCCCCGTGCCAGGCCTTGTGGGTGGCTGGGTCTCCACGCGTGGGGTCGGATGGTCGTGCCGGGTACAATTGGGGTCAAGTTTCCACCAGGGAGGCGTCCTGTGCCTGGGTGCAGCCGGGGAGGCCGCCCAGTCCCGCAGGATCCAGACGGGGTCCCTGGTCCAAGAGAGAACCGCGCTGGGAGACTGAAGAGGCCGGAGCGAGAGTAGGGAGCTGGGCCTCACTCTGCCCGGCAGGACCCCTCTGGTTCCTTCCTGCGCGGCTGCGAGTCCGCCTTCTAACCTGTGTTTACCTTCACTCACATGTTCTCAGCTCTGTCTGGGTGTTACCGGTTGAAGGTGTCCAGGTTCTTGGCGCCTTGAACAAAGAATTGAACAAAACCCACAGAGCAAGGAAAGAAAGAAGCACCAAAAGCAGAGATTTATGGAAAAAGGAAGCACACTCCAGGGTGGGAGCGCCTGCGCACAGGGGCCCCAGAGCGCCTTACAGAAGTTTCTGGGGTTTAAATACCCTCTAGAGGTTTCCATTGGTTATTCGGCCTAGGCCTTGTGTAAATGGAGAGGACATTTCCTGTCATCGCTGAAGTATTTCCATTTGATTCAGCTCTAGGAAGTCAGTGTCAACCGGCCTTATGTTCCGGCCTCCAGACCCTATTCTCCTGCCTCATATCTGTCAGAAACTATTCTGATACCATTTTAAAACAATCTTATCCTGCCAAGTCTTGCAATGGCTGATTTATGCAAATTATCTTTTCTCTTATCATGTTCAGAATTATTTGTGGGCATCACTAATGTAGCAGATATAGAAAATTATCTTTATTCATTTTGGCATCAATCAAGGAAAGAAACATTTCACATAGTTAAAAAGCACTTAGCCCAGTGCGGGACTCGTCCTAAGTATGCAGTAATTGTAAGTTATGGCCGTGATCGCTACTATCGTTACATCCGAACACCTAGGACAGAATCTGTTCTTTTGCCTGGGGAGATCATAAATCTCTTCATGAACACAGGTCCCACTCGAACCCCAGACGCCGCTCAGGGAGACTGCAGGGTGACACAGACCACGTGCGTCGTGACAGAGCCCTCATCTTGAATTGTGACTGGGTTTGAGTGCTCACGATTCACTTGTCAACCAATGCTCGTTGAACTCTTGGCCGGCATGGGGTAGGGCACACCCCGGCCATCTGCCCTCAGGAAGCCATTCATTCATTTTCAAGTACTTGTGGAATATCCGGTGGTCATTTTAAGGAGTGGGTTAGAGGGATTTAAATCACAATCTCTGTCAGTCTTGCTGTCCAAACTCATCCTCAAATAAAAACACAATGTAAGTAAAAACAAGGTGGTGGACAGCAAGAACGGCTTCCACATAAGTCCCTGGGCACTTCCTCACAAGGGTGCTGGGGCCTGGCTTGGTCTTTTCTTATGCCTCCTTCTTATTTACTCCCCTCTCTCTTCCTTTTTCACCCTGTTTCTGCACTGTCTGTAGCTTAAACTTGCCAGCCAGTGACCGTCCGGGAAGCCACTTCACCCCTGCAGCCTGGGGGAGGGGGGAAGGGCGGAGGGGGCTGGGGGGCACTGGAAGAGAGCCCTCCTAACGCTGCCCACGACCTTGGGTGCAACCTTGGCAGGCTCAGGTCTCCTGCCACCTTCTCTGAGAAGCCCCAGCACCCACGGTCTGGGGCGTGTCCCCCGTTGCTGGGATACTTTGCTCACCCAGCTGGGCCTGCCACTCTTCTGTTGAATCTGTTAAGCAGGAAACAGTCCTCCACGCCTGCCCAGTCCCTCTCCTGCGTCCCACTCATGTAAAATGTGAAGGATGTCAGTGAATTCTGGCTGCAATGCCTTTTGCTTTCATGTTGTCAGCCCTGAGCTCTTACGATGGAGAAACCAGGCAGTGCTACTACTTTGTAATAGTCATTTGACCCCAGAATGCAGCACATCGGTTAGAGCCGTGGCCGCTAAATTATTTTTCTCTGACAGTCCCTAACCACCCGGACTGGGTGATGAAGAGCGCAGAGCAGCGCGAGGGTTTCGGGCCGTTCATCACCGCTCTGCACGCAGCGTTCCAGGGGCCCATTACCCTCCCTTGTACCGCTCCCCACGCGCACCCACAACTGGGCGGGGCTGGGAGGACACTGGGACTCAGGGCCAGGAACCTTCAGCAGTTTATTAAATTCAAATCATATTATGGATGTGATTCGGGGAGAAAAATGAAAAGATTTCAGAAATTGCTGTAAATGTGGCTTTTCCTCCTTGCTCTGCCCCAACCTTCCCGCAAAATCCTGCCTCTACTTCACGGACCCCCGTCTACACAGCTTGCTTCTGTTCAGGCAGACCCCTGGTCCCACCGCATGGGGGCTCTGGAGCTGAAGTTCCTAAAGGCCTCAGTCCCCAGCCCTTGTCTGACGGCCCTGTTAGCACCCGTGTCTGGAGGGCAAGCCGTGCGTTTTCCCGGGCTGTGTCCCACCTCCGGGGGATGGAGCGGGGAAGGCCGCCCTGCCGGAGTCCGTCCAGGGAGCCTGGAAGCAGCGCCTCCTGCTGGAACGATGCAGTTTCTGCACCTGGGTTCTCTGCCCACAGTCCCAGGCTCACCCCATGCAGGGCCGGCTTCCACGTGCAGAACCACAAACCCACAAACCCACGTCTGGATCCACATGGTGTTTCGGTAGAAGCCAGCAAAGATGCTGCACGTCTGCTCGGTGCTCTCCACCAAAGGCTTGCTCTTACGAATGAAGCTTCAGAACCATCCTGGAGGGAAGTCTCCTCATTAAGTAACAGTCAATGAAAACAAGTTTCCAATGTGATGGTGCATACGAATCATTTGAGTGGTGTGCTTAGACACCGCTGAGGAGCCTCCTGCAGGAACCCAGTGGGTTCTCGAGGGAAGTCAGCGGTCTGCACTTCCAGCTTGTGGAGTGGTCAGAGACCCACGCTGTTGAGAGACAGTGCGGCCAGAGCCTGTCATGGTGCTGCTCACAGCCTCAGCCTGGAATGGCAGGGCTGTGGCGGGAAGAGTCTCTCTGTCCTGCCAGGACAGCTCGCAGGAAGCAGGGCCACCCAAAGGCCCTCGCAGACCTGAGTAGTGTCTGTAAGGGTGATCGTTGTGGTGGTGCTTGGGATTCAGAATCTCAGCTTCCTTATAAACACCTGAAGTCACTCTCCAGTGGTAAAGATGTACGATAGACTTGTGTGTCATCTGGATTTTGAAAGAGGAAGTTCAGAAGCATGAATTCTCATAAAGATTAAAATCACAGGTGTGGCTTCTCCGCATCTGATTTTCACTATTTCCTGCACCTGAGGGTGTTTCTCAGGATTGGACTCATCTAACCCTTCAGCTTCATGGGATCTGAGTCAGCCAGAGTGTCAAAAGCAGGCATTAATCAGATTCCTTAGAACTCACACCAGACCTAAACAGGTAGGGTTTACAGTGCTGGCAGAGGGTTTGCAGGCCAGTCACCATGAGTATCAGCTGATAGGGGCAGTGCCTGCTCAGGTGCACCTGCCTGGCCCATTGCAAATCTCTCATGCTTTCCTCATCTGCAGTGCACTCAGGACTCCTCTAGGTTAACTGGGCACTCAGAAGTAAGAACAAGACAGTGTCAGGATATAAATATGTGCTACCTGGAGGCATCATCATAAAAAACGATAAAATCACAAAACCTACATCTCTTTTCAGTTTGCTCCCCACCCCAGCATGAAAAGAAATCCTAAGCAAAAATGCAACCATAAAGGAATGCTCTTCAGCATTTTCTTTCCATGAAAACTATTTAGAAAGGAGAATAAAGTACACTATAATGCCAGTAAAAATAAATCAATCAGTAAAAGTCACCTGTGTGCTCAGTAACTTTGAAAAGGAAGTTTATTGACTTGTTTGTGAGTTTACCTTTCATCCTCAAGTACCCCCTTTATTTCTTTGTTTTTTAAATTTTCATGTCAGGCACAGACACCCTGTTGTCCACACACCCTCACCCCGCACTCTCCCACACTCAGTCCATACTCCAAACTAGTGCCTTCAGAAAGACAAACAGTTCCTTGAATGACTTTCTAAAATTTTAAAAGAATCTTCGTTTTGCTGAAAAAAAAAAAACTTTCCACTGCCACCCAGCCTTGTGAGAATTATTCACTGCCAACGAGAAGTTCTTTATATTTGCATAAAGACTCAGAGAGACTGGGAACCCAGAGAGGGAGGGGTGGCACCTCGGGCATCCCCAGGCAGTGGAAAAGGCACTAGAACAAGGTGTTTGAACTGGAAACTGTGGGTTTGGCTCTGGGAATGCAGGTATTAAAGACATAAAAAGTGTCTGTGAAGTCCCTGGGAGAAGAAGCCTAGAGTTGGGCCTTCACCTCCTGGATGGACCTGGCTCCACATTCTCACCAAGCAATCCTCAAGGGCTGAGGGAACCGTAGGTTTCTCTCCTATCTGACATCATAGTGGCTTTGCATCCCCAACTGTTCCCACCAGAGACACCGTAATGAGAGGAAAGCCCAAGGGGTTCATCCTCTGTCCCCACACCAAGAAATATGCAGCTGAATCCTTGCAGAAAAATCATGACCAGTTCTTGGGAATGGCTTCAATCAGTTGAGGCAGCCAGTCGAGATGACGCCATTTCTTTGATGTGCAGAGCTAAGTCCAGGGCAATTTCTTTCTCCCTCTCTGTCTGTCTGTCTCTCTCTCTGTCTCTTTCTCTCTCTCTGTTTCTTCCTCTCTCACACACACTATTGTGCAGGATGCACACACACATATATGTGTATATAG